CGTGCCGCAGCGAGCCCAGCGGCACAGAGCGGCGCTGGCTCCAGGCACTTGCCTCGCCACGTTGGTTTCCCCGCACCGGTGTCAGGTGCGGAGCAGAGCTCGTCTCCCTGTGCTGGGAACCGGTGCAGGCTGTGGCTCAGCCCCAGGGGCCCAGCCTGCCGCCAGGGACAAGGGCGTGCTGCGCCCCAGCCTTGTCCTCGCAGTGGGGACACACACCTCCTGCAACCCCCGCTGCCTCGCAGGCGTGTAACGCGGCCCCCCGCGTGGGGCGGAGGTAGGCCGACACCTTGCCACTGCGCATTGCTCTTTATTGAAGTGGAACGAGACAGCTGCTATTGTTGGACAGTTACACCAACCCCGCGCAAGCACAAGGGCGTGCTGCGCCCCAGCCTTGTCCTCGCAGTGGGGACACACACCTCCTGCAACCCCCGCTGCCTCGCAGGCGTGTAACGCGGCCCCCCGCGTGGGGCGGAGGTAGGCCGACACCTTGCCACTGCGCATTGCTCTTTATTGAAGTGGAACGAGACAGCTGCTATTGTTGGACAGTTACACCAACCCCGCGCAAGCCCGGAGGGGGAGGCCGCAGCAACAGGGCCAGGTCCACGCGCGTGGGATGGGGCACAACGACACCTGCTGCAGCAGCAGGACGAGGACGGGCTTGGCTGGGGAAGTGTGTGGCGGACATGGACCTCCGGCCGGCAGGCTCCCTCCCTCGCCCTTGTCTGAAGGCAATAAGTTAAAGCAGGGGCTGACAGAGCTGGGTCCAGAGTCGCGAGTACGACCCTTGGGTGCTGCACCACACGCACCAAAATACAACCCTTTCAGTGTCCACCCGTCCCACCCCTTGTGCCACACACCCACGAGGGCATGGGGTACCCAGCTTGGTCGCTGCCGGCATTGCACTCACCCCACTGCTCCCGGGACGACTAAAACAAGCAACAAAACTACAGTAACCGGGTGATGAGAGCTGCCAGGGAAGCAAAGCAGATGAGGCCCGAGGGCTGGCGTCGCGGCACAGAGAGGTGTGCAGTTGCTGCCTGGCTGAGCCAGGGCTCCCCTGCACACCAGACCTCCGCGGCCCTGGGCCCCCAGGCTGCCTGCAGAGCGGAGCCTGGTCCCGAGGGAACGGGCCTAATCCTGGGGAGCTGCTCCAGCCGTGCAGCTCCCAGTTCCTACAGCTGTGGAGGGTGTGCACAGAGGGGTG